ACCCCCAAGTCTGTTCATCCGGTCAATAAAGAGCCCAAGACTCAAAAACGCACACTGACCTCCAAACAACAAGTTATTAAACCTGAACCCATCGTGAAACCTAGTAAATTAACAACAGTTCTTGACGATTCTCTCATTATCATGAACCTCGTTGACAATCCTGACCTTCCTCTCAGTCTGCAGGACAAAAACGACAGGATGCTCTGGGGTGAATTGAACAAGAAGCTCGAACTTTCTAGAATAGAGCCTTTGACGGTCACCCTGCTCACTCGAGGAAAGGATTCTAAGCATCTAAATCATCCGAGGCTTCTCCGAGTAACACTTAAAAATGCTACCAACGTAGAGGACGTCTTGCTAGCAAGTCACTTGCTGAAATCCGATGGAAACATAAGAATATTGCCCGACATACCGTACTTTGAGCGCAATATCATACGGAACACCCCTAAAGAATCTCGCGAGTTTTTACGCGGAAGAAACATAATTGTGCAAGGTATACCGGAAAATGCAGACCCTACTCAATCAAATTCTGACATTAGGGAATGGAAATTCATCAAACAGTCCTTGAGGCTCAAACACATACTGACTCAGCATGTGACGAGACTAGCCAAGAAGGACGGTGATACTAGACGTCGTCTAATGAAGATAACCTTCCCATCTTCCCACACGGCGGCTGCAGTTCTGGAAGCATTTCGTGCCAACAGACGGCGATTGCCACCTGGAATCCACATGCACCCGGATAGGCCATACAAAGCTAGGGTCAAGCACAAAGGCAAATTGGAGCTGACCATTTCACTTGTGGACTGTCTAAATGATAAAAAAACGTGTAAAGGACAGGGCCTACCACCTCGGCGAACCTGATATAGGTGAGCTTCCTGTCCATTCACATAAGGCTCATACAGAAAAACGGGACGAAGCTCACGGGTTCCAAATTGAAAGCATAAACTGCTTATATATGAACGCCGCGAGTCTACCAAACAAACTGAATGAATTACGTGAACTTAGCAATGCTAATAAGGCCCATCTGATAGGAATATCTGAAATCTGGACATCTCAGTTCTCGGACCAAGTGTTAGCATTACCTGGGATGATTTCGTTCCGCAACGACAGAAAAACAGGAATTGGGGGTGGAGTAGCCATATACATAAGCTCTTGCTTGGAGGTGCACCAAGTTCACAACCTCGAGTTTAACAAGCTTGAGGAATCCATATGGTGCTCTGTAAGATTGTCTAGTACTTCCAGGTGTCTAGTTGCAGTCATTTACAGGAAGCCAACTGCCGACACCGAGTACCATAGTCGTATGCTGGAAGGACTATCCCGCTCTATCCGTCTCGGTTTCACACACATCCTGATTCTAGGGGACTTTAATCTCCCTAGAGTCAACTTCGCGGAACACACGTACACTGGAGGTGACAACTCAACTGAAGCTCGGTTCTTCAACCTCATCGATAACTTGGGCTTATATGAAAATGTGAGGTCGGCAACTCGTTGGAGAAACAGTCAGACACCATCGCGCTTAGACTGTGTATTCACTAACGAAGAATTTCTAGTCGACAACCTCTCAATCCTGGCTCCTCTGGGAAAAAGCGATCATGCCGTCATAGCCTTCAGTTTTGTCGTCTAAACTAAGCTAAGGTATCCCAACAATAATTTGCGTTGGAATTTTAAACGGCTGAATGTGCCAGCTCTACATGACTATCTAAAACAGGTGGTTTGGGATGTTCACCCTCAACTCGATGTGGACGGTCATTGGGACTTCTTACTTCACACGCTCTTATGTGCTACAAACCATTCAGTTCCTCAAACGGTTCTTGAAAGCTGCAAGCCACCTACAGTAATCAAGAACCGTACCCTTCGCCTGCTAAGCCACAAAAGGCACTGTTGGGCGGAATACAAACGAACTGATAACGACGGAGCGTATAGACAATATAAACATATCAGGAACATATGCACGAAGGCTATAAGAGAAGACAGGCTTCAGTACCAAACAAAGCTTATGGAAAAATTCGCCTCTAACCCCAGAAGCCTATTCCGTTATGCAGCCTCTCTTCGTCAAGCCAAAACAGGAGTTTCTCAACTGCTAGGTCTTAACGGCCCGACCAACAACGATGGCGACGCCGCTAACCTTCTGGCGGCACATTACTCTCAAACATTTCAACCGGCTGACATCAACTTTATTGACGACAGTTTCATCTGCAATTCCACAGGACTTTCTGAAGTGGACCTAAGCGCTGACTTGGTGTTCCGGAAATTGCAGCACTTGAGACTAGACACTTCTCCTGGCCCGGGCACGGTTCATCCTGCCATACTGAGGGAGGCAGCCTCAATCCTGGCAACGCCGCTTAGCGTGATGTTTTCACACTCGCTTAGCCGAGGCAAATTACGGGAAAATTGGACGTTGGCTCACATCACACCAATTTTCAAAGGAGGTCGACGCAATGAACCCTCAAGTTATCGGCCGGTGGCTCTTCTGTCATTACGTTCAAAACTCATGGAGTCCCTGATATGCGACGGTTTAAACGACTATCTACTGTCCTTAAATTTCTTCTCACCCCAACAGCATGGTTTCAGGAAGGGTTACTCTTGTATAACCAACCTGCTGACTGCGGTGGACAGATGGAAAAGCATCCTCGATCGCAAGGGAAAGGTTGATATCATTTACCTTGATTTCTCAAAAGCTTTTGATAAGGTTAACCAATTGTGTCTTATCAATAAGTTCAAACGACTACGTATCAAACCACCTCTAATCGATTGGCTTACTGCATACCTGCAAAATCGACCTTTTAATGTCAGGGTTAATTTCACTTTATCTCAGGCTATGGAATGTCCTAGTGGGGTCCCCCAGGGCTCAGTACTAGAACCTCTTCTCTTCTTGATCTACATAAATGATCTTCCTCAACAGGTAACGTCACTTATTACTTTTTGCCGACGACGTGAAACTTTGGAGAGAGATACGCAACCAAGACGATACACAGGCACTTCAGGAGGATCTGACTGGACTTCAAAGTTGGGCAGACGATAACGGACTTTCCTTTAACACTTCAAAGTGTAAAGTAGTCCATCTGCGACATGTCGCAAACCACAGTTGCAACTTTAGAAAGTCCTCTCTAGTGGTATCCCAAGTCGAAAAAGATTTAGGAGTCCTGGTGCCCCATGACTTAAAGTCTTACGCTAACTGTGACAAAAATGCCTTCCGAGCAAATCTTGCACTGGTAACGTCGAAGCGCATTTTTGGACAGTTTGACGGACGAACTTTCCATATAATCTTCCATAGTTCTATCCGTCCCCATTTAGAGTACGGAAACATAGTACTTCCCCCTCACTCCAAAAGGACAAAGTCACTTTGGAGCGTATCCAACGGCGAGCCACGAAATCAGTTCGAGGACTCAAATCTAAACCTTACGAAGAACGCCTCCATTCACTAGACCTTTACCCATTAGAGTATAGTCGTCTTAGAGCTGGTTTATTAATGGCTTATAGTATTCTTAACACTTTTGGACATCCTCTTAAGCACCTACTTAAGCTTAGTTCGAACACTAACCTAAGGGGTAACACCCAGAAACTGAAAACACAACATAGCAAGACGGAATGTAGACACAACTTCTACTCCTTAAGAGTTGTCAAAAGCTGGGATTCGCTGCCGGCCGAGCTAATCCAAGCGACTTCTCAGGAGTCCTTCAAGAGGCAACTTGACCTATTCTTAAGAACCAAGGACAGCATCACACTATGATTTACCAATTTCTTTTCCTCTTTTATTGTTGACATACCTAGGTTCCTGCCTGGAGGATTTGGTGATCCCCTGCTACTAGACACGGAAGCCTGTTAAGCGAAAGCTTCTTCTATTCCGTCCACAACCATTTGAACCATTTAAGTCCATGAAATTTGCAGAAAACAGAACTATATATATATATATATATATATATATATATATATATATATATAGTTTAAATACGTCGCAGATATATCACTTTAAACTCAAATTATACATATGCTTCTTTCAAGAGAATAAGGTGAAATCTATTTTCGGATTCCGTTCTTTTGTAAGAAATGTTTGTCTTCATACATAATAGTAGTGGAAAACCCCTATTGAGGTAAGAAAATATTAATATCAGAAGGGGTTTTTTCTGGATATTATAAAAATTTCAACAGTGATGGTTTAGCTTCGATTGACTCATGATCTCAACTATTAAAATTACCATAATATAAAAGTGACAGTGGACAACAACTTTCTAAACACAACCCTCCACTGTTAGCAATCATGTGCCCACTACTGACTGGCTTCAAGAGGTATTTTTTGGAGTTCTAGTGAGAAGCAGTGACCAGAGAAGTTCACTCGGGTATGTTGTGAGAAAGCAACTCACTGAGGACAATGATGGATGTGCCGATCGATTTCGCGGATTAGTTGTAGTTAGGCGTTAACACCGTTTGATGCCGGCCGGCTCAGTGGTTTACAGATTAAGCGCTTGCGCGTAAGAATGATATGTCCTTGGTTCGAATCTCGAGAGGCGGGATCGTGAATGTTCACTGCTGAGAAGTCCCACGATGGAACGGAACGGTTTCCAGTGTCTTCAGGTTTTCAATGATAGTCTAACTTCAATTTACTCATGATCCTATCTATTGAAAGAAAATATTACACATTTAAACATGCGTTAATGTATCAGTATTTACCGCTACAATCTTAAATATTATGTAGAGAGCATATCTATGAATAACTTTTTGTAGTACACCAGAAGCAACCTGTTAGAGTCTGGTCCTCAGACGTTCTCTGATTTTATAGAGATATAATGAGAAAGTACATGTTGTTTTGGTTGAACAATATTTGAAGACACTGAGCACATAATTAGAACACCATCCTAGACTTTACGATATCGTGACATTCCGTTAGCTAACTATTCAGAGCATTGTTCTGTTTTCTTGTAGCTTCGTAAATATCCCACATCAGATTAGCGATAAAAATGTTTCTTCCATTGAACACTTTAATTGAGCCTTGGTACTAGTGTGATCTTTAAGGCTTAAGGTCGATTTCAAGGTTAATTCGAGTCGACATCATAGAGGTCCCATGGGTTGTAATGAGTTTTTAGATGTGGATGTTGTGGATGAGTTGCAGTCTTATATCGAACGTCAGATTCATAGTGTTGAATCGAAGAAGAATTTTAATAGCGTGACTGCGTTTGGTGGGGGTAAATCAAAAGTCAGAATAACATGTAAGTTTTCATTAAGCATTTTATATTTCTATTGGTAGCTGGGGTTTATTCAGTAGACCTTCATTCAAAAAATATAGTTTCTAAAGCTGTTAAGAAGCTTTCATGTGAGCTTGATCAAGGTAAAAATTTTCTCGAGACTATTAATTATTGTTTGTTAAGTTGTTTCACATACCTATAGCCGTCCAGATAGTGCCAATTTAAGGATAACGTCCATTATACGGGATTTTGAGAAAACAGTTACCGATATGTGTAACCAGTATTCTGCACATGTTTCAAAATTGAGAAATCCTCTCTCATCCATTAAGCTAGGTGAGTTGGTACTTACATTAGATTAGCTGGTATCTGAAACTTGTTTCAGCTTACCTAGCTAATCATTGAATTTAATAAGAAATACTACACTCATCGGAATATTATCAGACTGTCGGTTGGTTAGTTTTGAATCGAAGTTTATAAATTTAACATTTGTTTAGTACCTGCTAATTCATTCAGTGTCACTTCGTTGTGTTAGTAGTCTTGAATATCTGGTTTAACCACATTAGGTAGAATGAATTTCGACATAATTGTAGAGAAACATTTCACTCCATTCGTTCTTTACCAAACGTTTCAGTGGGAATTTTCATTTAACTTATACGTGTTAGGAGAAAACCCTTCGTGGTTTCCTCAGCTTCAAGTATTCCATCACAGGTTTTTGAGATTAAATCAGCTTCATTTTCAATTTCCTATGAATTCAGTGAAGTTGAGGGTTGTGACCAGTGTTCGTTAGTTAAAATCGAACGTTTATTGGCCTTTATCTTGGTGTTAAATCTAAGAGGTAATGTATACATTATTAATCTGATAATGGAAAAAAACGAAACAAAAATATTAAAAATCAGCAAAGTAATGAGTTACACAATTTTAGCATCTAAAATTTCGCCATTCATAAGAACGAAATCCTAAATTCGAGTTCAGAAACAATAAAATGATCAACTCTCGACCCTAGTTTATCGAATCTTTACTTCCAGAATTTGAATATATTTGGTAGCTTCGAATTTGTTAGCTTTGATTAGCAACACAGCCCAGTTTCTTTATATGATGATATACGAATTATTAAAGTACTTGTTTAGTGAACGAAGACTTGGTGGGGAAAACCAATTTACCGTTTTTTGCAGTCACACAGTGCCTTTGTGAAATATGGAAACCATACATTAAATACATTATTTGCATATCTTCCTTCAGTTGTCCTTTACGTACTCCATTCTGCTGGTCCTGTTGTCATTCCGATTGCTCCCCTTTTTTCTTCCTGTTCTCTTCAACTCACTCTTCTGCTGGTTAGAATTCTAATTCGTACTCCTGCTACATACTACTTGTATCTGTCCACATATGAACTGCACACCATACTCTTCATCCCTTTAAGAAGTCTCTCTCTCAGTTGTTATGCTCGCCGTTATGCCGAACTTTAGTTCTGTCGATCTGCTGCGTCATCTAAATCTGATAACCATTCAACACCCAATAAGTTCTACGTCTCCTTCCCGTCTACTGAAACTGCTACACTCAACGCCGCCTCGCCAGATTACTCCATATAACGTCTCTTATTGGGACCAGACCGCTCCAACTAATGACTCCTCCCGGAGTCTTCAGGACTACTCCCTCCTCCTCGCTGTAGGCAGCGACACCAAGGCACTTTTTATTAGTCTCTTGTTTATGAATATCTTTTTTCTATATTTTCAACCGCATTTTTCTTCTCACTGACTTCATTTTAGGTAGTGTTTATGCTTGGGCACGTGAGCAGTCCGGAGCCAACTTTAATGACCTTCAAATGTGTTCAGATCTTAGAAAAAATCGTTTGCGTTTATGTCAAAAGTTGTCACGTTTGGTACGTCTATCTAAGTCATCTAAAGAACAGAGTCAACGTCATCCTCTACTCGTCAGTCTGCGACATGACCTAACGAAAATAAGATTACGTGCGACAGGGAAAGTATTTACAGAAAAGCCTGTAATTATTACACTTCCTTCAGGTATACATTGCAAATTTTTATTCGTATGTCGCATAATTTGCCTCTAAAACCTACAGTAGGTTGCTATTTGCATTCTATATCCGAAAAACATTCAGACAAAATATTTTACTAATACATCTCATTTGAACTGTATTTCCTGTTGAGTTTGTGCATGTCTCTCTTAATAACATGTGTAGGAACCTGAACTAACTTCTGTTTTCCAATTTCACGTCGTTAACGGGCTCCTTAAAACCTGTCTATTCTTATCCAGACAAATCGAGATTTACAAAGTCATGTTAAAAATAGGTGTTTATTGACTCAGACACCATATATATGCCTAGTCTTACGTTGTAGCTGACTGACAGCTTACGTCTCAGTAATTGGTACACATTGATCTTTTGTGTATTTTGTTATTCCCTATAACCCGTTAATTATCACGTGACAAGATCGCCAATCAGAACATCAACTTATGTGACCTTGGCCCTGTGCTGTACCAATGATGGGTTAACCATCACGAGCAGCCTTGAGTCAACTCTGTACCCTTATTGGTCATCTATATAGTAGCTTCTCGCATAGTCCTACTTGTTGAGTCCAGAACACAATATCAGCTTGTACTCTATGAATCATGCAATTCAGACATTCGCAGTTTATTCACGAGTAAACTAGACCACATCACATCATCAAATAGAAAGTAACATTTATATAAGATCAAGCTGAATGTGACTGTGAATGTGAGAGACTAACTAATAGATTGCAATAACTTTAGAATAGTAACTGTTACAATGGTAGCCAATAGGTCAAATGAAAGCTTATAATAAGGGATATAAATACGTATAATCTAGTTACTTGATATTTGTACAATAAGAATATATATATATATATATAATAACAGTCCATAAATAATCCCTAGCAGTTACCATTTACTTATTCTTGGATAGGATATAACGTGGTTGCCATGGTTAGTTACCATGCCCCAGTTTTTAGTGTTTGAACGAGTACAATTTACCATTTGGCTTCACCTCGTACATGCTGATGTTTACCTTGGATTTTCCCGATGGCTTTTAAAACCAAGGTTTGGCAATGGGATCATTCAGTGCCTTTTATTAAAGATACGTCTAAACTACAGAATTCAGTATCGTGAAATGAACTTTGTTATTGTTTACTGATTTCATTTATGCCTTGAAATATGATACCAAACCTCAAGATTATATCGTTTCCCTTAAAGAAATCTTGTTCTTCAACAAAGGAAGCTGATTCTTTGCTCATCTAACTGACATCGGTCGCCACATTGATAAAGTTTCAGTTATTTATGTGCTTCGGGAACTTAGGTCAACATACGTATGTTGCAGGTTCTTTGTTTGCCATAACTGACTGTACCATGCTATGTATCTCTCGTTGCTTCTACCGTTTCTACATGCTGACTTTTCATAAACAGATTTTAGCAGTATGGTCGTTTCCATATAAAAATTTAGTATCAACTTCTTTCATTATTTGTACTTCATTTTTCAACCAACTAATATACTTCACAGACAGTACCTTTGCTTCGTTTGAAAAACCCATTATCCAATCGAAACTCGCGGTTGTATTTGAAAGGTTGGCTGACCAAATAACGGATCTTCTTCTCCCAATTTCACATCTTATTCCAGGTACGTCCAGAAGACGATTTTAGAATAAACAGTTGACATTTTTGGCTAATCGTTGTTTTATTGTGTTCATCATAATGCAATACTTTAAGATAAACTTATCACAGATAGTTCTCGTACAAACCTTCCTAGACGTTTCTGTTAGTTGGTATCACAGGTTGTAAGAAGTACCTAATGAGAGCTTAACGAAATAAAATGAATCCGTGCTATTCTGTTCACGTCCTTGTGTATCTTTTTCAGGTTCTTAAGATAGACTTTGGCACACACTTATACAGTAATGCTAAGAGTGATTTAGTGACTGGGAAATATTGAATTGAATTTTTATATTTTGACAACTACAACTGTTTTATCAAGTCGTGTTCTTTAAACTGAATGGTTTAACCATGAAACTCATTTCCTTTTCAGGCTCAATCAGTGTTGACCTTAAAAAGTAAAATGTCTCCACAAGTCAATACCAGGTTCTGTTGAGATTAAATGTGATTGGTTATTGCTGACACTTATAACCTGATTGTCTGCATATTCTACGTATCATCTTACTTTGAAAGTTTAAGGTTTTCTATTAACGTTAACTTAGAGTTTGGGCTTGCTCGTTATGAAAACCTGTTCAAGCTGTATTGTCCAGAATATATATTCTTCGGGATTTTCTCTTAGGGTGGCCCCCAAATGCCCTGGTACGGCCGAGGGTGGGGAGAGTTCGCTCTCCCTCTCGAACTGATCTCACATGGCCACGCGTATATAGCCTCTGCCAAGGAAGTCCTACCCATTGCCTTCTCGTGATGGGGGTGTTGTTTACGGAATTGAGAGGGCGAAAAGCGAATGTCCGGCGCTTTAATCGGGTTAGTGGACTCGGAGAGTCCACCTAGGGGAGTTGGGCAACCCTAATTCCAAACCAATAGTGCACATATGCTCCAGGATCCTGAAGGAACAAATGGCGTATGAACCAATCGTTGGTCTCTGGTTAAGATGGGACTGCATTTCCTTACGATGCTCCACTGCCTTGTGGATCAGACCTTCAGGTCGAAGGCTCTGGTTGTGGCCCCCTAAGAAAACCACGTGCTTCGGTTTGGGCACCCGTACAGTATCACAGCCCTCACACAAATCAAATGATATTTGTACGGCGCATATGTAACTGGTGCCTCCTCGTACCGGTATTCATGTGTTCAAATAAATAAATAAAATAATACCTTAGGATGTAGGTTGGTCGGAGGGCCATCAAACTATAGATTGTAAAATTAAATTAAAATGGTAGGTTATCATCGACATTACTGGGGTATGGCAGAAGTAATATGTTTCTCAGCAATAACCAGCATCTCCAGTGATGCTGCACTCTCAAAAATTAAAAGAGAGATTAAAAGCTTCGTCCCTAAGCATTATGACTTCTCTTGTTACGACCTAGATACTCATTGCTTAGTATTTTCGGACACTACTTCAATTGACAAGTATCTAAATCAAAACACAGTTGAACTGGAACGTAATTATGTTCCAAATACCAAGAGCGGACAGAATTAGGAATCACAATACGAAAAACGTCAGCATATTCATATTTTTTTTGTAAGAAGATTCTAAATTCTTCTCCAAGTGTCTTCTAGAGCTGATTGGTTAATAAAACGCCAACGTCTCCTAGCGCAATACATCACGGAACATGGTTTAATTCAATCTATATCCCGCTAACATTAAGTAAAAACACTTCGCGTGGACCCACGACCTTCCACTTCCGGTGGTAAGGTTTCACAACTCAGTTAACACGAAAATCACTTACAAAAGGTTCGTACTCGATCAGCCTCGGACTGTCGTCCCCTTAGCTCTGCAACCACGCCCATAAATTGACATGACCTGTGATGCTAATCCAGTTTTTTCTTTTCAGATCTTTTAATTGGAAGTTTCCTACTGTATGGACGACCAGAGGTTTTCAATCACCTATACACTTTTAATACAGTAACTTAATCGACGTTAAAATTTCTGGTCATACAGACTTATTTTCTGTAAATAAGACTAAATATAATATATTTCATTGTTTTCACTTTCTACATCCGGTTTTCCATTTCTAAAAATGTCCTTTTAAAGGTATTTCAATCGTAAAATGTGCCGATGACGCTGCAAAACGCCGAGAAAATTTACGTGCACAAGTAATTTTAGCTATTCACGGATTTTATTGTCATTTCAATGAGATCACTGAAGAAAATACATATGAATTTAAACAAAATAATTCAGTCATGAATGATGATCCTATGAATGAAAGTTATGACTTATCGGATAGATCTGAGTCTAGTTCCGATGATGATGACATTACTGGGGTAAAGTAAGTTACCTGATTAAATCTCGGGTGTAGTTTATATCGTTTTATTTTCTTCTGTAGTATCATTATTATTAGTCACAGTGTTTGGTTACCAATCAAATTTTGTGGTGTAATGCGAATAACATAGCAATTGTTGCTAAGTTAAAGGAGCAGGAGTTACTACTATAGATTCCCATATCATCCAACCGTTACTGCTATCTTCATGTGGTAAGGCTTACATGTCATCATGACCCAGTCGAGCTATATTGGCTGGAAAACTCCTGTTAGGTTCTATCAATCCAAACAAGCTGGTTGAAGATCATTAAGATTAAAAGCAGTAAACTTATGGTCTGAGGATGAAGTCGTACTGTTGTTTGCACAGGGGTGTAGTGATAGTACGGTGTTTCCTTTAAAAAACCAGTATTTATATTGATGCTACCTTCTTACTACGGAAGGAAGTGATAAGAAAAGTTTTACTCTAAAAATAGCACACTTCACGTTACCCCCATAGATTCCGGCGTCGGCGTTTTAGCCCTTATAGTACAGAGTCAACACATCAAGGATTCTACACAAAAAGACCTCGTTTATATTTCCAGTCTCAGCTGCTTTGTTGGTCTCTGCGGTCACACTCCAATATCATTCCCAACCCAATTTTCTTTTTGAGGATTCTGAAGGGGAAGTACTTTTCACATTTAGAGTAACTGGGAAACAACAACTATCCTCTCCTAACAACACTCGAGATCACTTCACTTAAAATCCGACTCGTTCCTTGTAATGTCAAGACATTTATCTAATGCTTCCGAATTTCCAACGATTGTGTAGATCAATTAAATTCAATACAAACTATATTATTTTATTTGTATTGGAATGAACAGTTATTTTCACTTCATTTAAATGTAGGTTATTAGCTCAACTAAGTCCTGCTATAGTCCAAGCTTCACTTGATCGATTTGATCATTTTAATTGGAATAAACAAAAACAACGATCTTCATCAAATCGTTCAAAAGAACAAACAATGGAACTGCAATCTATCAACAATATACGACAACCTACTTCCAGTTATGTAAAATCATTAAATATAAAAGAAAAGATGAAATTAACTCAATCTACAATGGATAATGGAAATGTTGAGAAACTAATGTAGGTTACTCTTTTGATTTGGTCTTTACAAAGAATATACATATTTCATTATGTTATTCGAATAAAAGTTGAATGGTTAGGGTGTTCGACTTTCAGTCATTAAATTACAGATTCGTTTCTTAATCTTCATAATACCAAATGTAAATATCTTGTCAGATATAAAGTAAACAGAATAAGAGTTGTAAATATCTATGAACTTAACTTGTGGTTAATAAAGTTTCGATACCAATACTCGGCGAGACTTTAATTTATGGGCGAGTCAATCAGAAGCGTTTGAAAGATTTCAAGGTCACGGTGCCAACTTCAGTGCCTAATGCTAACGTACGATCGATTCACAGGGGATTTTGTACAAAACGTGATAACTGAGCGGCCATAACGAATAAAACGGCGAGACTATAATTTGTGGACGAATCAACTAGGTATAAGATAACAGATCTCGGATTTTGGCGCGAAAGCCTTTTATCCATTTGGCATTATAGCTGATGTCAGTTCGTGATGGAAACCCCATATATAATTCTTAACTAGGGCAAATTACGACAATTATTGCGAACTGGATAATAAAAGCACCAGTAACACTGGTTGCAGCCAGGTACTACAATATATACGGATGTTTGGAGAGCGTACAAACTCTTACATAGTCTTGGATACTGTCGTTATCCACAAGTGGCATTTTGTGTACTCAACAACTGGAGTGCACATAAACAATATTTAAGCTATGTGGTCGAGGCTGAAAGAGTTTTTGAGACTTTATCATGGCTCCAGAGGCCGACTATATTGTAGCCACATGGATGATCTCCTCTACTGCATGCATTACGATTTTAGAATCTTTGAACCTCTTTCAAACCTTGACAAGTTTTTGAACCACGTCTAAGAAGTGTATCCACTTTACTTCCTTGGTTTTGTATAATATATTTTTACTCTATGCTGACTGTTTGCTGATTGGCTAATATTTCTCAAAGTCACTTAAGATTCGTTCAAGGGTCGTCTATAAATTAGAGTCCCGCTGCAATACTCTTCTAACTAGTATTAATTTCTTGTTCAATTTTCTTCTAATATCATTTCAATACAGAGAGACAAATTCTGGAGGTCAATTGAATAACGATGTTTCAATGGAATCAGATTCTGAGATTATTCGAACTGAAGAAGATGAAATAGAAGAGAAAGAAACAAAAGAGAATAATCGAATTGATACTGACGAAGAAAAACACAATAAAACAATACAGCATTTCAATAAATCAACGAAATCACATTCTAATAGTAGTAAAGTGAGTAGTAGTGGATTTACACGAAAACATACAAATCGATCACTTCGTTTACGTCATAGTCGAACACCATCTGATGCAAGTTGTTCCGAAGGTGAAGTATTGTCTGATACTGAAGAAGATCATGACTTAACTGATAATGATGTTGTTGATGAAAAAGATATTGTTGCTGTTCAGGAGAAAGTGAAATCGATCTCTGAAACAAATTGTGATCATAACGAAAATTTAGTCCGTTTGGTGCATAATTCATTACAGGCTAATACACCTATTAGTGATGTTGACTTAACTGAATTAGAAATTATGGATGAATGGGGTCCACCTACATCGGTTAATCGATTAGACACATCAATTGCATTAAGTGATATCAGCCTTCCAGCTGAAAAAGAGTTGGTTAGTCGATTTTTTGAGTTTCACTTTTAGAATTTTTTGAACAAATACAAATACGACATTAAGTATATAAATCATTTCAATAGTTGAAATCATTAGTCGATTGGAGCTAAACCAACATTGAAAAACTGGAAGCACTAGACGGCCGTTTCGTCCTAGTATGGGACTCCTCAGCAGTGGGCATCCACTATCCCGCTACCCGCGAGATTCGAACCCAGGACTTATCGGTCTCGCGCGCGAGCGCTTAACCGTTAGAACAGTGATCCGGCATCCAACAGTGGTCTAGCTGCAATTGACACATGGTTTCAACTATTGAAATTTCTATTTTAGAAAAATCTCCACAAAACCCCTTCTATATAAGTCATATTTGAAATTTTTGAACTTATTTCAGTGTTTCACACAGTGAATTAGTTTTAGCTTCTTCAAGGAAATAGTTTAAATTAAAATAATCGAAAATAGATTCTTTCACCTAATATCTTCTGGTATAGTTGGCGTAACCAATCTTCGTCACACTATTTATTCAAATGTTGATGAATTACTATGTTAATTCATACGAGTCTGATTGTGGTGTCATAGGACAGTCAGTTAGTTAGCTTCAGCGTAGGACCAGACACATATATGTATGGGTCCAATTTGCCATACCTCATTAGCACAACAAAATGAACACCAAATTCATAGAAGCAGTCACTGAAATGGTAGTAATATATCAAAGAAAGATTGTTTGTAAGGATTAGTTTGTAGAAAGAAAGATATGAAGCAATTTTTACCCCACGGTTTAAGGGAATACAGAGAGTGTATTCACGTACACCATTGTGATCGATTCTGAAACATGTCACACAGAGTCTCCAACCACTATTGCTTACGATAGTCACGCGGACCTCAACCAAGTAGTCTGCCTCTACCAACATGGCTCAGACTAAAAGTTAGTGGCTTTACAGACTGATGCCACGTTTTGGTTTGGCCACCCCTAACTTTTTCCCATCCGTCTTCAACACTGGTCAGCATTGCACGTCGTGGTAATCGATGTTCAGGCATACGTAACACGTGGCCTAACTATCTCAGTCGATGAAGATTTTCAACCTCATCAGCTGATTTACCATCATTCTCTAATACCATGCATCTAATCTCACTATTACTTACCCGGCGATCCCAGAAGATGCGAGCAATATTTCTACGACACCTGTAATCAAATACGAGTATCTTCTGCTCTTAACGACCACGTTTGGTAGAACAGAATAAACTACTTGACCCTAGAAATTCATGATTGAATTGACTACGAGAATGCATTTGATAGCGTGGACAGAACAACACTATGGAAGCTTCTTCGACACTACGGTGTGCCTCAGAAGATATTCAATATCATACAGAATTCCTATGACCGATTAAACTGCAAAATTGTGCATGGAGGACAGTTGATAAAATCGTTCGAAGTAAAGACCGGTGTCAGGCAAGGGTGATTAATCTCACCTCTTCTCTTTCTCCTAGTGATCGACTAGATCATGAAGACGTCAATATCTGAGGAGGGGAAGCATAGGATACAATGGACATCTAAGATGCAGTTGGACGATCTAGACTTCGCAGATGATCTGGCCCTTCTATCCCAAACGCAACAACAGATGCAGGAGAAGACGAACAGTGTGGCAGCAGCCTCAGCAGCAGTAGGTCGCAATATACACAAAGGGAAAAGCAAAATTCTCCGATATGACACAGCATGTACCAATCCAATCAAAATTGACGGAGAAGATTTGGAAGATGTAAAAACCTTTACGTATTTGGGCAGCATCATTGATGAACAGGGTGGATCTGATGCAGATGTGAAGGCGCGGATCGGCACCACGTCGTGGTAATCGATGTTCAGGCATACGTAACACGTGGCCTAACTATCTCAGTCGATGAAGATTTTCAACCTCATCAGCTGATTTACCATCATTCTCTAATACCATGCATCTAATCTCACTATTACTTACCCGGCGATCCCAGAAGATGCGAGCAATATTTCTACGACACCTGTAATCAAATACGAGTATCTTCTGCTCTTAACGACCACGTTTTGTAGCTGTAAAGTAGAACAGAATAAACTGCTGCGCAGTATCCTCGTTCACATCTATTGTGGTGTCAGAAAGTCGTAATTGCTAATATTTTGTCGAGTTCAATTGTCAATAACAATGAATAAAATTTTAACTTGAAAATATCTACTGAATAATAAAAAAATTCCATGGAAGGTATCCTCGTTGAGCTCTTTTTTTCGAACTATTTGATCTTGTATGTATATGTATTGATAGGATGATTAGTAAAACAGTCGAAATGATAATAGTGTCAATCGGAACGAGGGAAATTAGATAGTAATAAATGCGGATAAGATTGATTTCATCTTACTTGATACTTATCAGCTATGTGTGTCTATATACCAGTGTTGATGTTTACTTTGGAAATCGAACCCAATACGATTCACCTCAAAACACCCAACGCTTTATCTACTGGGCTACTGAGACCAGTTGCTAAAGCTCCTGGACTATACAGTAAGTTTAATGCCTTAAGTCCTAACTTCGAGTACCAGAGTGAGAAATAACTATGCGATGCAGTTACATCTAATTGATGAGTCCCGTATAGTACAAAACGCATGTCATGAATTCCACTGTTAGCTACATCCCACTTTTGTAAACTCAGAATTGGAATTAACTTGAATTATCTCATTATTTGTATTGTTGACTGGATTTTGATCGATCTTAGTTGACATAAGTTCACCTTCTGTGAATTGCCTTTTGTCATTTTATCATAAGTTATTTCGAATAGTTGGATTGTAGCTACTAATGAAATCTAAATCATCTGTTTTATCCTATTTGCCACTTGTCAGCTGAATGTATCTGCATCTTTGTGTTCATATTCACGTTGAAACTTGTACTCAACTTTTTCTTACTTCAAACACCCAACATGTTCATCGATGTACAACAATTTTTGTACTTTCTATTAAATAATTATATTTAATCGGTGAATTTATTCGTGACATTATTTTGTTATATTTATTAAAGCTTATGATTTAATATTGGAGGCCTGATAAATCCGAGTATTGTTCAATTGGTTGGTTTATGGTCTCTAGTATTATGTCAAGCCCAAACAAGTCATTCCAGCTTCCTGGGGTCACACCTTGACCTTGTCAATTATTCGCTTATTAACTTTGACCGTTTCTATTATGAGCGCATATTCGTGTATCGTCTACTCTATTCATCAAGTCTTTTACTTATTTTTGTTCAGCTAGAAATCTTTATCAAAACGAATTGGCTCACTCACCTTAACAGTTTCTCTTCGTCTTCCCGCTTCTTATTCTGAATGTCTGTTTGGATAAATGAGTGACTGAAATAACTTCAACTTAACCCGTATTTGGCTTTTTATTACCGCTATCACATAAACGAGGCTAGCCTAGGTGTAATATACGGGGTTGAGATTAGATGGTGGTTGGAGGTAGTCGACAGGTCACGTGCTACTTGGCACTCGTCAGCAAGGCGTACCTGTAATCTTGAAGGAACTGGTGCTCCCTGACGGCTTCAATCTTGTGTCACTCAGCTTCACAGTCAGAGACGTCACCAATGACCTATCAGGGCGGCGATCGACCTCTTGTAGGACTGAGATGTAATCACAATTGATTGATCACTGGGTAGCGATCAATGTCATGTGTGTCAAGTCCTTCTTAGGTTAAAGTCCACTCTCGTTCTCACTTTCGATCATGTACCTGACAACCAACCAAAATAAATCAGGAATTATTATTTACACTATCGTAATCTATGATAGCATGTTTCATTTTCTAACATTTTTGCTGGCTTATATGAATAATGTAAAGCTTCCTATAACAACAAAAATACCACTCAATCATGATATGAACGTGTCAAATGTAGCGCAGTCAGTTGTGATGGAAGAAAAATCACAACATAGCAGAATTCATACTTACTTACGCCTGTTACCCCTAGTGAAGAAGCATAAATGTCTTGACAACGTACAGTTTATCTCTAACCGTAAAATAACTCTTAACTTATTCTGTATTTAATTTTTTGTAAATAAAATTTTTTTGTTTTTTGCTTCATAGAACTTGATCACAACTGATGGTGATAAGGATGATAAAATTACAGATATATTCAATGAATCATTAGAATTCTGTGCTAAACATTTACATGATTTAATAATATTAGCTGAAACTAATTGTCATTTAATGAGAAAGCCTATAGATATCAATAAACAAAATGATATCAATCAAACAAAAATCAATAATCAATTACAATCGAATTTTTGTTTATCTTCTGAATTAGAAGCTAGTATTGATAGAACAGCAACTGCTTTCAAAGTAAGGATTATGATTATGATTGTTGTAAATTTGAATATATATATATATATATATATATATATATATATATATATATATATATATATATATATATGGGTAGATAAATCGTTCTAATTAATTCTCCGATGACATAGTTTTATTTGCTGAAGATGCTGACGAAATGCAGAGTCTTCTGACCACTCTAAGAAACAATACAAGCACGTTCGGGATGCGATTCTCCTCCTCGAAATGCAAAATGTTGCTTCAGGGTTGGGTTGCATCGACACCTGAACTAATGATAGGGAGTGAAGTAATTGAGCATATCGACCGCCTCACTTGTCTTGTGAGTCTCATCAGCCCTTATGGTCTGGTGTGTGACGAAATCTCAGGGTCAACTAGCTTTTACCAACTTGCGTCATTCATAGCGTAGGCGAGATATCCGTCTATCAACCAAAGGATGTGTTTGCTGCGCAGCACTTCGTTCCGTCCTATTTTATGACTGTGAAATATGGCTGGTAAGAGTAGAGGATATCCGTAGGTTATTAGTATCTGATCATAGGTGTCTTCGAAACATCACTCGTATATCCTGGGACCATCGACTAAGTAATGGAGTAGTTAAGAAACGCGTACTAGGTAAGGATGGCAAATCAATTGATGACGTAGTGAAACTTCATCAGTTGAGATGGCTGGGACATATGTTACGTATGCCCAACCACCGACTGCCTCGATGTGCCATGTTTTGTTGTATAAGAATAGATTGGAAGAAAGCTAGGGGCGGCCAGACCAAAACATGGCACAAATTCATGAAGTCACTGACAAGTAGACTTAGTCATATTGGTAGGTGTAGGCTACCTGGTTGGGATCCGCGAGATGATAGCAACCGATGGTTAGACTCTGAATGACATGGCTCAAAATCGTTTGCAAAGGCGCAGGTGCATCCACTCTTTCTGTTCTCCTAAATTCTAATCTTCTGAATTCTTCATGTCCCTTTCTTTTATCTCTTTCCAAATTTATTTTACTGGATTATACTCCTTGAATAACATCTTCAAACCCTAATTTTTCTGATTACAGCTTATAATTTTACTACATCTAGCACTACGGGATTTGAATCGACCACTGTATCTCTGTGCTAATGTAATGTAGTATATCTACTCGAACTGATGTACTTACGTACGAAGTTCTACGTTGTTCCTGACTGACTGGGGGACTATCTAATTATTTGAGGAGGGTTCTCTTTTAATTTGGTCATTGACTATTGAACCCTTTATCGACTACTTCCCGTTATTTTCTATCGGTTACTTACACCTGTTACTCCTCATAGAGAAGCGTAGGGCGCCCACCAGCACTCTCCATCAAACCCTGTCCTAGGCAATCCTTTCCAACTCTTTCCAATTGTTATTCGTCTTTTTCATATCTGATTCTATTTCCCGACGTAATGTGTTCCTTAGCCTTCCTTGTCTTTCTGTGACCTTATTGGTTTTTTGACAGTTCATGTCCACAAGAGACTGTCCATTTGTATGCCATTCTAACTGTTCATCACACAATATTTGTGGGTTTGACTTGTGCGTACAGTTCTCCGATTAAATTCACAAAAAAACTCCCAACATCCTAAAAATATTTCAAGGAATAATCATATCGAATTTATGTTAAATGTTTGGAATTTGTCAGATGGAAACCCTGAACCCATTTCCAGATAGTCGAGTAAAGGTACTTCCTATCTAGAGGGGACTAATACTATCTGTCGGATTCGTACTTGTATTATCTATCTTCGTGGTTTGACAATGTATCACTGAGCTATTCGACTCACGACTGACTAATAGAACTGAGATGTTTACAGTGAATTAACCATTAAGTGATAAACAACATCATGTTTTTCTACCTCTTTAATGCTGATCGAATTCAGTTAGTATTGGTCAATTAACTGTACACCAAGTTTAGCTTTGCTAACACTAAAAGCGTATGATTACTTTAATTTACCGCACACTAGGTTACATAGGATATTGATTGATAAGAGAAGTGATGTTTTGTTTTGAGGATTTATTGATTTCGAATTATTTTACACAAAAAAGGATGCCAGTTAAGTTACGCCAATGTGTTTTATGCCATAAAATTGTTTCTTTTTTTGTGGTCTTATTTTTTTTCTTTCTCTAGGAACACATTAATTCAGTACTAACTAATCTGTTACATACTGCATCAATCTCGAAATCATCAAATGATGAATCAAAATCTCATAGTCAACGTATATCAACAATCACATCAGCACGTAGACAACATGCTCCTTCCCGACGTGGTTCTAGACTTCGTGGTATGCTATTAGCTTATCAACAGGATGCTGTGAAGAAACGTTTAAGCTCAAATAATTCTGACTAAACACCAATAATGAAAGCCAAACAATCATGGATCATGATTACAAAATGAAAACAAGTTTTTTGTTGTCTTTTCTAGTTTTGAAGTTTGGTTTCATTACCTTTTTTCCTACATTTGAAGCAAACATATAACTCACTATCATCAATATCCAAGTGATATAACTGTGAATTGGTCGGGTTTTTTATGATATATACACTAATCTTTTATTATTTAAGTGATTTGTTTCATATCAATCATTTATATTTGTCTACCTATATCTAAATTGAACAAACCATTCTGTAGTATATTAGAAATAGGGTTTTAGTATAATAATTGTGGTAACTAGTTCTCATTTGCACATACCACGACACTTAGGCTGACAATTAAACACTTCACGTGATGTATAAGCAATGTAGTCTGCAGTCACTAAAAGCTATATGTACAACATAAATCAATGATGAAAATTATATTTTTTTTCAATTTAGTTGAAGGGATTTTATAGAAATCAGTTTGGTTTGTTTAATTGTGTTCGTCTTGATTGAAAGAGGCTAATTAATATTAGACATTCTTGTACAGTTATTGATTCATACATAATAGCGCGCGAGACCGAAGGCCCTGGGTTCGAATCCCGCGAGCGGGATCGTGGATGCGCACTGCTGAGGAGTTTCACAATAGGACGAAATGGCTGTCTAGTGCCTCCAGGTTTCCAAAGGTGGTCTAATATCAATCGGTTCATGATCTCAATCAAAAATCCACTGGTTTTCCTGAACTGCTCAATTTTATGCGACGAAATAATACTACTTACAAACTATTGTTAGTAGTTAGAAAATTTAGAATGAATTTCCGCGGTTTGGTTATTTACAACATGAAGTATTAAATAGACAAGAAGGAAAGTTGATTGACTCAAATATAGGATTTCTATGTACCTCTATCTATTCGAGTACAATTACTTTATAAGTACGGTACACTCTGAACCAGATTTGAAAACTGTTGCATTTTAAACCTCATCCTAAATAATCATTCCTCTGTGATATGCATTGTAAACGCTTTCAGTTGTTCATACACAAGTGACCATTTCGTAAACATTAGTTTGCATTAAAACCATATTTGCATCTCGTGAAACAGTTGATAAATAATAAAACTTTTAGTAGTAACTCTAATGAAACCATAATTACAAGTTCTCAAGTACCTCAAAAGTAATCTCTGAAGATGAAAAATTCAGTCAGTCAGTCAGTAACAACGTAGAATTTCGTACGTAAGTACTTCAGTTCGAGTAGCCATACTACATTACATTAGCACAGAGATACAGTGGTCGATTCAAATCCCGTAGTTCTAGATGTAGTAAAATTATAAACTGTAATCAGAAAAATTAGGGTTTGAAGATGTTATTCAAGCAGTATAATCAAGTGAAATAAATTTGGAAAGAGATAAAAGAAAGGGACTCGTGTGCGAACGCTTAACCTCTGTACTACTGACCCGGAATCTAATGATGTTAATGTCTAACTTCAACAAATAGTGGATGATGGCTTAATTTCGTCGATTGATTGAAGTTAGACATTTACACCGTTGAACGCCAACTCAGTGGTCTAGAGGTTAAGCGTTGGCGCACGAGACGGAAATTTTCGGATTCCGTTCCCGTGATTGGGATCATGGATGCGAACTGCTGACAAGTCCCACACTCTAACGAAATGGCTATCCACTGCTTCCTGGTTTTCCATAGTGATCTAGCTTTAATCAACTTATGAATTCATAAATGTAAATGTTTATCGATTCAATGTTTGTTTGTTTGTTTATTTATTTCTTCTATTAAAACGATCCATTCAATTATGACCTTTAAGGTTGAAAATTGATCAAGGATATTTTAATTAAACTAAAAAAAACAAAAGCTCATTCCTACATTTCGTGTTCCATGGAACTTGACCTAAAAGATTCAATAAAAACTTTCTTGATTTCGATGTGAATTTGTTTAAGAGAAAAAAATTGCCAGAAGTTATGTCATCATTATTTCATTTAAATAAGGTCCATCAACCAGTTTGTTTGTTTTCTGGCTGAAACAACTGAAAGAATCTGGAAGTTCTTTGTTATGATAGTGACAATAAAAAAATTTTGGCGACACTATAATTTATGAACGAGCCAATCAGATTTAAGATAACAGGTGTCGGATTTTGGCGCAAAATTCATTAATCCATTTAGCTAAATAGAATTTTGTCATTTCAGCTGATGTTAGTCCATGATGAAAACCATAAATCTAAATCCTAATCTTTACTATCAACTGTAAATCATTGTCGTTATTCTTTAAACTGTTGTATAACCTTCATTTAGCCCTATTAAGTGGGTAGTTAGTGTCATGGTCAATTTGGTGTTGCTCAAAGGTCGTCCCATCAGAAACACTTTTTCTGGAAGAGACTATTAAATTGAATAGTGTGAGATACAATGGTGATGTTTATTTAAAGAAAAGTTGTATTCAACTGAAATCTACCTTGTTTAATGTATAGTTTGAAGATATGTGAAGATCATTGACATAACATATGGATATTGTAAACAAGACATCTTGCTCAAGTGACTTATATAATAGAGGGTTAAGATTAATCACTAAAAGAACATATAGATCTTAACAGTTGATGATCTTGATCTGAAAGATCTTCAGTTATGATTTTATTTCGCTGCTTTTTTTTGTTTATTTAATTTTAATTATGATTATGTCAATCCCGTGCTGTTGTACTTATATGGAATGTGGCAACATAACTATTTATGTGGGCTACTAAATTTTTGATGTTTACTAATTGTTTCATGACAGTTCCGAGAAATTTAAAATATGAACACTTCTTTTTATATAGACCATGTCTATGGTCTTTGAAACACATTTCCATTATTCATTTTAAAATTGTTTGGATTATCTCGTTGATATTTTGGGCTCAACGATGTAATTTGTAGGCGGAAGGACGGCATAATAATGGGATCCCCTCTGGGTCCATTACTTTCAGATCGCTTCATGGCTAGTTTAGAAAACAATCAACTCAAGGCGACTATAGAAAAACTTCACTTGTATAAAGGATACGTAGATGATATCTTTATCGTTTGTGACAACAAATATGACTTGAGTCATCTTATGAAGACATTTATTAATTGCCACCCTGATACGTCTTGTTAATTTGAACGCTTTATTCGGTTCTTGAGCTATTCTGGTAACCCGCAAGCTAGAACTTCGCAGCGACCTGAACTCGAGAGAAAAGGCACGAAATAAGCGAAAGGCACTTTACTCCAAATGTTCATTTTTGTACAGAAAAACACGGGTATTTATAGATGTTAACATTTGTTAAATCAACATCATATTTTGGCCAATCCGATAAAGGACATATTATGCTACTGACCAATAGTAGCACTCCACGTTGATATTCTAGAGGGGTCCATCATGCTCTGATTGGCTAGGACTCTTCGTCTCCTTTAGGGCTTCTGGAGGCTCCTTTGAAGTTCTCGGAAAGCCGACTCAACACATCCAATAATAAAATTCACATTAGAAGTTGAAAACAAACAAAATGTTCACCTTCTTGACGTGGAGATGACAAGAAAGAAAGATGGTACTCTAAAAAGATCTACTTACAGGAAGCCCATGTGGAATGGCCAACTATCACGTTTTCACAACCGCGTCCCCATTGGTCAAAAAAGAAACCTAATAATAACACTCGTAACAAGAATACAACGAATCTGTAGTCATGACGTCATAGAGGAATAATTAGGCCACCTGAAGGAGATACTTATTAAAAAACGGATATCCTTCGATTTTCATTGATAAGAACATAAAACCGAAAACACAGATAACTAAAATAGAAAAGAAAGCTTTATGCATGAACATCGAATTCAAGGGTGACAGACGGCCATATACATGTTAAAGAGGAGAACTTCGGATTCTTTAAAAAGAACATTCCCCTCAGCAACATTTTGTATAGTATTCTCCAGCCGATCATTGTTCACCAATAACCTTAAAGATATATTATCTCATCTGATCAACTCAATGTGCATCTATCAATTTACCTGCTCACGTGAAGTAAGGTATATAGGTCGTTCGATGCGTACTTTATCCAAAAGAATTGAAGAACATTGTCCAGCATGGCTAAAAAGAGGAGGAAGCGGCTCAATAAGAAGTTGAGTAATTGAACACCTTGTCAACACAGGTCAGTCAATCAAGACAAGCTCTGCGTTCGAAGTCATCTACAAAGACAATTAGACTGCATCTTCTTTGTATTGCCGAAGCATTAGCCATACATCTGGAAAAACCAGAATTGTGTGTGCAAAAACGACTGGTACAACCTCTTCTTCTACCATGGTCCTGATGTCTTATAATTTTTTTAATTTTTAATTTTCTCTTTGTTCATAATCTTTCTCCTTTATAGCCATCTGCTTCATCTTCCATCTTCCCCTTAAATTTTCTACCACCAGCTGGTTCATTTTCTTTCCACGATCATCCTCATTACATTTAATCTCAATTTCAACACTTTATCTTATCATGCTGAGCTATCAGATTATTTAACTAGTTGTTATTAATTAAAACAGTTAAAAAAGATGGATTTTATTGTGAGTATCGATACTACTTTATTAGTAAACAACGATATAATAGAGATAGTGGAGATCTATAGCTCAGGTGGTTGCGCCAAAATCCGACGCCTGTTATCTTCAAACTGATTGGTTCGTTCATGAATTATAGTTTCGCCAAATTTTTTGTTGTCACTGTATTAACAATCGATTTCATACTCACTTGGCATTGCTTGGCTTATATCTTCCCATCGAGTTTTAGCCCTGCAATTGATCAGTCTGTTATTGGCATATGTGCATACTGTGCGTATGTCTCGATATTGCCTTAGTTGGCAAGCTATTTGTAAGCAATGATAGATAGTGCCTAGCAGTGGAATTCAGGAAGATGCAAGCTAAACAATACCAAATGAACTTATTCTTGTATGATCAAAGAAGTGTCGTTATTAACATGAAATTCACACACACATGAACACACATAAATATAATTAAAACAATACAAATGTAATTATGAATCGATGTATGTTTATTAATCATGGCTAAATCATGTATTTTTATCAATATTATTGTCAAACTTATTATCGATTAAAAATATAATAATAATAATAATAATAATAATAATAATCAATTATTGCACTACTTCACTTAGTAACTTGAGAGATCAGAAAAGTTGAAGTACTTTATAATCATTCTCATTGGGTTGTTCTTTGTTGTTGTTGTTGGTTATCCTGTACGAATATCCAGTGCTTCATGGTCACTTCTTGAAGGTCAAAATGATTTGTAGTAAGGATGCCAGGTTTTTATCGATATGATTATAATATTACTGATCAACCTAACTTTGTATGGATATAATATGTGATAAAAGGAGTATAGTCAAGATAATTACGACAAAAAGGAATGAATGTGAATTAGGAAAGATGAATGGATGGATTAAGAAAGATATAAACACTAAGGGAATTTGGATAAGAGGTCTATAATATCCAGTTCAGGTGTTTGATGATCCAGTCGTTGACCACCGTAAACATCGATGCTGGATATACCTCTTCTGGATACTTCAATTCGGTTTTCAGGAGTTCATCCAGAAGACTTCAGCTATGTAGAGTGACCGTAGTCTAGCTTCTTGAGAGAGGTCATTTGGAACTTGACACAATAAATAGAAAGCTTTATGGAATTGAATATGATGTTCACTATATATTAAGTGAGAAAGAATGTGGCTGTTAACCAACGTAGTGAATTATTTTCCCAACCATCCTAGTACACACTCACGAGCACACAAGGATAAAGCGTTCAGAGTAAGGACTATATAACTAGGTCAACTGGAGCATTTGAATTTGTATGCACACATTAAGGAGCAAATCATCGTTAACCTATCCTTGGTTTGTTGTATAAGTGGTGGTTTGGCTGAGATAATATGCAACCTGACGATGGGAAATGTTTTTTCAATAGATCTTTTGATTCGACCTGTTAAAATGCCACCTGTTATGTCCCCATTCAAATAGGGTTTTGATAAGGGGGTTTCTTTGCTGACCACGTCAGGTGTGGATTTCCTCAAAATGACGCTAAAATTATCTTCATGACTATTTAGATAAGATGGTGTTTTGATGCACTGCTTGAAGCTACTGATATTTGTATAAGTAGTAAAGAAATCAGTAATGACAATAACAGCGTCAATTTAAGCCCTAAAAATAAATTAGCAACTTCAGATAATTGACAGATAATTCCCATTTAAACATTCCGATTTTATCAACTGATTCTTATACATACTTAGGTAACTATTAATACGGAGAATAAAAGTCAATTAACATGGATTATTTAGCGACATAAAGGTGCCAGTCTTAGAGGAGGTTAATCGTGGAATTTATAACTGAATTACAACATTTTTCGACCATGAAACTAGGGAATATTTGTTCGAGTGATATATGAAGTATCTGCACTCTCTACGCTGTATATAATTCCGATTGGCAAGTATGAACTAAGGAATAACTTTTTTTCAAGCTACCTGCTAGATCCCTTCAACCATCTTACATCTTAGTCTTTCATAACAACGCAAACACATGGTTGATTGTAGTAGATGTCTACCAAAAGTGACTGAAACTGCAATTCATGTTCATCTTCACTTTATAATAAAGTATTTGCTACTTTGTGGTAGATCGAACCGTATTTTTTGAAAGAACCCTGATCATATATGCCACTATAGACCTTCTACGATATCTTCCATATCAATTCATGAATCTCTACAATACTGAAGTCTGCAGGCAGTTACGACCAGATTAATTTCTCTTCAGAACTGTTCAAGTGAACAAATACACAGAACATATTGTGATTTCGGTGGAATAATATGAATCTGTATCACATTAGTTCCATAAATGATACGATGTTTCAGGAATTGAACTACTATTCAACATATTGTTGATTCAATCAGACATTTTAATGAGTGAATAGCAAACTATCACAACACTCAGTGTGTGTAGTTTTCATTTATTTAGGACATAAACCGGAATGTGCACTTCCACTTGGTAAAACACAAAGACAACTATGTATAATACAACATCAAGGAGATTGACGTTTGAAGAAATGAATTGTGATTCATTGGTTTATTTTAATAGATTACATGTTAATACTGAAAACCTGAGTGAACAATAGCTTGTAAAGAAGAGATGTGATCGAGTCCTTAATTATAGCGGAATACTGATTGTTCTATATTTATCAAAACTTCTTTAATCAGCATAAGTCAGTAATGAGGAAAACGAGGATTGTGGGACAAAATATCGTACAGCTGTGATCTATACCACATTTATCTGAAGACATAAGTAGTATGTAACACCGATCGAACCTAGAGAACCTGACAGCAGAAGGCTAAGAAGATCGAGTTGAAGAGAATTGAGGGGCAAGAAGAAAGAAATTTTGAACTGGAAAAATCATGGAGAATGTGAAGGACAAATGATGGAGATTCCCAAATGTAGTATTCAATGCAATGGTTGTGATATTTGATGAAGATATTGATGAAACAATAATTCGGAAAATTGTTAGTTGAGTGATTCTATTTCAAGCGACAAATATAACCATTGTAACTGCAATTTGGAGATTCTTCATATGATCTGATTACTTAAGCCACTATCAGGCTAATAACATGTTCTTCACAACAGAACTGAAGAAACCGGATAGAGACAGATGATTTCATGTAGTCGATTAAGTTTTCAAGGCTTATGACTAAATCTCATTCATACACACTAAAAATCTAGTGTTACATAACCTCATTGATCTCTATCACAAATCGTTCATTTATAAAGTCAATTTCAGAATGCTTCTCACAGTTATACATAGCTTGAATGATAATTCATCAATACAAACTCAATATGTATTAACATATCCACTGAAAAGCAGGAAAATCATGCATGGAATTAGTTAACTATCTTAGCATTGCTACGTTACTGTGATACGGACGTCCATCATACAATAACACGCTAGCATTATTGATCCACAACTCCGCCTGGAGTCCCTCCGGGGGCTACTGCCGGTCCCAAGCCCGGATAAAAAAGGTGGGTTGGGCATGAGGTTAGCGTCCCCATCCCGTAGAAAACTAACTCGCTAAAAAACGCTAACCAGAAAAAATTATTCAAACATTCTCAACTCTGCCCTGGGACTCAGAAGCTCTTCATTTAGAAGAATTATGACGCCTCATGATGAAAGCCGAATTCCTTCAGAAGTTATATGGCCGATGCCCCTTCTGACAACCAGAGCGACCATTTATTTAGGTACATGGAATGTTCGTACAATGTGGGACACCGGGAGAGCCTTCCAAATTGTTGCAGAAATGAGAAGATACAACCTAGAGGTGCTTGGGATCAGTGAAACACATTGGACACAAGTTGGACAACAACGACTAACTACAGGAGAGCTCCTGTTATACTCCGGCCATGAAGAAGAAAATGCACCACATACACAAGGAGTTGCATTGATGCTGTCCAAACAAGCTCAAAATACGCTTATAGGATGGGAATCTCATGGACCAAGGATCATCAAAGCCTCGTTCAAAACAAAGAAAGAGGGTATTTCAATGAACATCATCCAATGTTATGCGCCTACCAACGAATACAATGAAGATGCTAAAGATCATTTCTACAATAGGCTGCAGTCAATCGTCGAGAAGTGCCCAACAAAGGATCTGACCATTCTGATGGGAGATTTCAATGCCAAGGTTGGAACGGACAACACTGGATATGAAGACATCATGGGATGACACGGACTGGGAGAAAGGAACGAAAATGGTGAGAGATTTGCAAATCTATGTGCCTTCAATAAACTGGTCATAGACGGCACCATATTCCCACATAAACGCATTCACAAAACCACATGGACTTCACCGGATCACTCTACACAAAACCAAATCGACCATATTTGCATCAACAAAATGTTCAGGAGGACGATGGAAGACGTAAGACCCAAGAGAGGAGCTGATACAGCATCAGACCATCACTTACTTGTCGCCAAGATGAAATTGAAACTCAAGAAGCACTGGACAATGGGGCGGACAATATCACAAATGTTCAATACGGCCTTTCTTCAGGATACTAACAAACTCAACAAACTCAAGATAGTCCTCAGCAACAAGTTCCAGGCCTTTCATAATCTACTCAATGGAGAAGGAACTAATGTGGGGAACAACTGGAAGAGGAACAAAGGGGCAATCACTTCAACATGTCATGGGGTCCCGGGTCACAAGAAGCACCATCACAAGGAATGGATCACTGTTGATACACTGGATAAGATTCAAGAAAGAAGGAACAGGAAGGCAGCAATCAAAACCAGTCGAACAAGAGCAGAAAAAGCCAAGGCACAAGCTGAATACACAGAAGTAAACAAACAAGTGAAGAGGAGCATCAGAACCGACAAACGTAAATATGTGGAAGATTTAGCAACGACGGCGAAAAAGGCTGCAAGAGAAGGAAACATGAGACAATTGTATGACACGAAAAAGAAACTCTCTGGAAATCGCCGCAAACCAGAACGACCAGTGAAAAGCAAGGAATGCAAGGTAATCACCAACATTGAAGAGCAACAAAACAGGTGGGTAGAACACTTCAAAGAACTCTTGAATCGACCAGCTCCACTGACCCCACCCAACATCGAGGCAGCACCCACGGACCTCCCGATCAATGTTGGCCCACCAACA